TTCTCTAACACAAAAAAAGTAATAATACAAGGTGTTTTGCACTCTTATACACAAGATGACCCAACGAAAATTTGTATCCCTCTAAAACTCTGTAAAATAAATGTGGTTCCCAAAACTAATCGATTTTTATATAAAGGTGCATAATTTTTGTGCAAAATTAATTCTTTGGGGTTTAAGTCCGTGCTAGGGGTGGCAACTCCCACAATTTTTAATGGGATGAGGGGTCAAATGTCCTATAATTTGGAAGGGGTTTTCATTACTTACACTTTTTTAAATCGATTAGTTGGCGAGAAATTGCGCTTTACAGTTGAAAAATATGTATAAACAGCCCAAAAAGGTTTACACTAACTAGAATATTTGCTCAAAATGACCTCCAATAACTTTCACACAATAATACAATCTTCGATCAAATCCAGATCGTACATTTCTCAATACCTCTGGAGATATTCTCCTGCATTCGGTGTTAATTCTACATATTCTCTTCACAGCTGGCAATGGAAAAAAGTGACTTATCGCTACATTGCTGATTTTTTGTGTAAAATATCCTGGTACATAGTGAAGTAGAAAAAGTCATGCCTGCCAGCGAGATCCCGTGGCTTAAGGTTGAGAGGGGCGGTTCAAATATGTCAAATTTTAATAAAACTGCTGATTTTACGTCTCTGGCGCCTTTATTTTGAGTCCGACGCAAAAAATGGATCAGACTTTTTTTGTACAGCTCATCAAGGCACATCTTTTTTTATATATAACATTTTTCGCTATGAGGCTTACTTTCTGAGAAAAATGAAAATTTAGAAAAATTATGAAATGAATAGTTAACTGTTCAATTTAAAATTTCTCAAAAACAAAGCAACTCACAAAAAATTGTTATGGACTTTTTTTGTAGAGTTTGTTATGCCACATTAGCCAATGCATGCGAAAAGCCGTTATGACCCTTTTAAACCTCAAACACTCAAAAACCCTGAAGATGGTAACAGATCGAAACCAAAATGGGTCGTTTGCGATTCACAATACAATCCTATAAACATTCCAAATTTCATCAAAATCGGTGCAGGCGTTTTTGGGTTATCGTGTTCACAAGAAACGAACCTCGTGCATACAATTTAAAAGGGCCGTAACAAAAAATTTGTTGAAATCATTTTTGCACACACTGGCAAATGTGGCATACAAAACTCTACAAAAAAGTCGATTGCAGTTTTTTGTGAGTTTCTTAGTTTTTGGGAAATTCTAAATTGAAAAGTTGAACTATTTATTTTATAATTTTTTTAAATTTGAACTTTTCTTGAAAAGTAAGCACCATAGTGAAAAAAAATACAAAAAAAGATGTGCTTTCATAAGCTGTACAAAAAGGTCAATTTTTTGCGTCGGATTCAAAACAAAAGCGCCAGAGGTAAATATAGTCGGAACAGTGGCGTAGCGAAGGAGGGGCGGTCCACCCCGGGCGGCACTTTAGTAGGGGCGGTAGCGTCATTCCTGCCAATAATATCCCGGGGCGCTTTTGAAAATAACTAAAGTAGGAAACAGTGTTGGGTATATCCTTTTTACCGCAATACAAAAAAAATTGAAAAAATACGTTGTTTTCTGTCT